TTTTGAGATGATCGTCCCTAGCAAATTTCTTCTGGCACACTGTGCATTCCAGCGGCTTTTCCCCTGTGTGTGTGCGAAGGTGACGTCTGAGATCTTTGCCTGAAGTATACATCGTGGGGCAGACTGTGCAGGCGTACGGCTTTTCCCCTGTGTGTGTGCGAAAGTGATTTTTGAGATGATCGTCCCTAGCAAATCTCTTCTGGCACACTGTGCATTCCAGCGGCTTTTCCCCTGTGTGTGTGAAGGTGACGTCTTAGATCTTGGCCTGAAGTATACATCGTGGGGCAGACTGTGCAGGCGTACGGCTTTACCCCTGTGTGTGTGCGAAGGTGAATTTTGAGATGATCGCCCCTAGCAAATTTCTTCTGGCACACTGCGCACTCGTGCGGCTTGGCAACTGTGTGTACGCTGAGGTGCCTTTCAAGCAGCTGACCAGTAGAAAACGTCTCCTGGCATACTGAGCACACGTAAGGCTGATCGCCTGGTTGAGCGCCGAGATGACGTTCCGTAGACGTCAATCTCGAACACTTCGTGGAGACGGTGCATTCAATCCCATCACCATTCATATTGAAACACCGATGCTTATGACGTGGGCTTCTTTTCTGTAACAGATGGAAAATCTTAGGTTAATTTTACATAAGGGTGGTTCATAGAGTACGAGCTCCATACTTGCTATGGCCGGGGTTAAAACATCTTAACATACTTTGGTCAAGGAAATAACCCACGTTTTAAAGTTGCTTTCTGGACGCAACTAGATGGCTTTGAAAATACACAATAGCTTAAGTTGCTTAAGATGCTAAAATTTGACATGCAGAGGCCACAAATTGGCACTATGCGCATTGCAGCAAAGAAAACTGTCAAAATCCGGAAGTCAAACAGAACAACAGAACATGACACAGCCGGATCCTGTCACCGTCTTTCACATGCGACCCTCTGCCTCTTCACACACAAATGCTCTCTAACCAAACACGTCTAGGCCAACCCCTTAGCGAGCGGCCCACAGTGGGCCGGCGGCGCCCGGCGGGGCTTGAAAGCGACAAATAAATCATTGAGGAAGAACTGAGAGCCCAAAATGTGAAACTAGGGGTTTTTGAGGATGCTGATTCCATTTCCGATACCCTTTCCACCCCCCAGACCTGTCCTGAGGGCGTCATCGGGGACCCCAAGAGGTTGCCGAGGACGCCCTGCGAAATTCTGGTACCCCGAGCACTTTTGAGAACATTTTCCTGATTTACTGTGTTTCTAATGACTCTCCCTCACCATGCCAGTTCAAAATCTTCTATTTTTGCTGAATTGAGCCACTCTGTTACGGCTACCGAAAGGTCCATTTCCCTAAATACCCGGATCGTTGTTCAGGGGCTATCGACTACTAATTTTGGTTTCCTGAAATATATCCGAGGTGGCTGAAATGGAATAAAGGCTTAATTACGATATTTGGAGCACAGGGAAGCCTTCCCTGCCGCACACTGCAGTCCCGACCGTCGAAAAGTGAGGTTAGTCGGCGAGCGGAGCGCGCGCGCGGGGCCGTGCAGCCACCTCTTACAATCAGTCGCATTTTTGGGGTCGCGGGTGGTCGCAGCTTAACTCTGTTGGAATGTGTTCTACTTCAGGGGAGGTGTGTGCCAAGTATCTCGTTGGCTCCTGCTGGCTCACGGATTAAAAGTCTTTTAAAGACACTTCATCCAGACCGCGGAGAACTCACTTGCAGAGTCATGGAAAAATTGAGTTCCCTTTTCGAAAAAGGCGTTTCCCTCGAAAGTACAGCTTGTCAATGAAAGATAAAGGTTCATTTGTTCCGTAGGTAACATAGGATGATTTCTCAGGGCGTTCGCAGTACAGAATAAGTCAATTCACTACTCGGCCTTGCCCATACCACCGCCGTAGCCCGCCATGACTAGTCTCAGAAATGTCATCTTTGAGATTAATTATTAAAGAATTGGTGATATCTGAAACGATTGCCGAAACGGATTCGGATACTTCAATCATGTATGAACCCGAGGATGCAAAACAAATTTGTTGTTAACATACTTTATTTTTGAATTATTTGTCGTTTTCGGGTCTCCCCGGCCCACTGTGCAGCCCCGAGGGCCTTGCGTTAGGCGTACAAGCGATCGTCTAAGGCTGAATTAGAAGCAGCAGAAATCTCCATTCAGTAAGACGAATGGCACAGCGAATAAAGACGGGAAAGAAACACGACGAGTAATAAGCAAGCATGCGAGATGCGAGGAACGGAAATCATGCATGGAGGAAGGAAGGGGCGTGTTGACATGGGGGAGGGGGGGAGAGGGTGCCATGTGAGAAAGCGGGGCCGCCATGGGCTCTCCCAGCCACCAGGCCGCCATGTTTACAATGCAAAGCAGCGGCAATTTCCTTCATGAATTTCAAGGCACTGTAGCTCTGATGTAGCTTAAACTGCGACGTGGGCGGACGGGGGGATTGGGTATATGGAGGGACTCGTGTCTTTCGCATCCGGTATTGGTATTGCAGAAAGTTTCGCCATGGTCGTCGATTTGCGCTACCCTACCGGTTCCGTAACTTTAATGGATCGTCTTTGTAGAGTTGTCAACAATGTGTGTTGTTCATTTACATTTTTAGACAGTCCCTTAAAGACTGCCTCTACCAGAAGGAGAAAACGCCCCCCCCCCCCTCGCTTCTCCTTTAGACGGGAGCAGGGACTCGTCTGTAATGTGTGTGTGTGTGTGGCGCCCTCCCCCTTCCCTTCTTTCCCCTCCGCTCGCTCGGCCTGTTCGGGGGGACTGTCTCTTTCTTAGCCCTGTGGGCTAATTTTTTTACTTTTCGTTCTAAGCTACAATGTGTCACTTCAGGGCAACGATTAGCGAAAACTACAACGCTGAGAGAATGCTCGAAGTGGGGGCCATGCCCTTCGAGTGACGCTAGTACCCCGAACAAGCCAGTTTCCGCCCGGCCGCCAAGACACATCGAGTATCTGGCCGTAGAGCCCGACCATTCATCAGCAGAGTGCGCATTTCTCTCTCTTCCTCTGTCTCTCCCTCTCTCTCTGTCTCTCTGCCTCCGCCCCGCGGGTCAGCTTTGAGGAGAGGATGCACTACGTTATGCCGGCTCTGCAGTAAGGTGCTCCCCCTAACGCATGACGAACATATATTTGCGCTCAAGTGGACGGGCGGCTGGCGCCGCCGGGTGGCAATAGTGGTGCCGCGGCTACTCAGCGTTTGTCGCCGGTTTGTCGGCTCGGTAAGGCGCTCCCTCCTGAAGCCAACTCCCAACTCCCCTAGCTCCCCCCTTTCCACTTGAAAAGCCCGCCATCACCTCCCGCGACCGACCTTCAACCCCCTCCCCCCACCCCACCAAATCCCTCTCATTACTTTTCCCTTCACTTTCACGCAAAATTTCCGTTCGGACATGTAATTATCGCCACCGCCCGTAATTCTGCTGTGACCCAAAACCTCCTTATCCGGCGCCAATCACAGGGCGATGCTGTGGCGTCTCGATCTCGACCAAGGTCTACCCGGTCTCCTTGCCGCTCGATCTGGCGGTACCTGTGCGCTAAACGGGGCCAGCACACACGATAAAAACAAATGTCTTATTTTTTCGGATATTTAGTTAAGACTAGAGGAAAATTTTGAGGAAATGTGGGGGAAGTAAACTACTCAGGATTTGGAGAAATATCGAAAAATGTGGGAGTTTCCGTCAATTTATGATGAGATGTGATCAAGGTTTGAGGAGTTTGACTGAAACTAAGTTTTCCTCTTTTCCTCAAAACTTCAGACATTGAGTTACCGTACGGCTATGGCAGCTGCCTACACTGTAAATCCGGGGTGTCCAGCAACTGTGCGACAAAAGGTGCCCGACTCTAAAACCTGTGCAATTTAAGTCGCACAGCTGCTGGACGCCTTGTAGTTTGGCGCCCTTTCCCTGCAGAGGGGCCCAAGCAGGGGGTGTCCAACAACAAGACACCCTACCTAGGCTTGGCCTGAACCCTTGTGCAGGGAAAAGGGTGCCAAACCAAAATTTGTCCAGCAGCTGTGCGACTTAAGTTGCACAGGTTTTAGCGTCGGGCACCTTTTGTCGCACAGTTGATGGACACCCCGGATTTACAGGGTAGTGGCATGGACTTGCAGGTTACCATAACGTTGGGTCTAGCGTACCGATGAAATATCCAGTCTTCACTGCCGCCATCAGTCCGAGTTGGTCCGAGGATCAATCATCAGATTTCGGCCCTTTGCACTTGAGGGAGCCGGAGCCTGCCCTAGACGGCTGACGGCGGTCAAAAAAAAGGGGGTTGAAACTTCGGTAATTGTTTACTTGAGTGACTCCTCGCCCTGGAGTCACTCAAGTATACCATCGGAAAGGTATTTTTCAGTAGAATCCTGAACAGTATTAGATGGCTTTGAAAATACACAATAGCTTAAGTTGCTTAAGATGCTAAAATTTGACATGAAGAGGCCACAAATTGGCACTATGCGCATTGCAGCA